TGACAAGGTCGACGTAAGCACTGTCCCCGTGGTGCTGCAGAGCACGCCACCGCCAGTCCTGGTCACGACGCAGACCTCCCAGCCCCTGGGTACAGCACCCGACGCAGCCAGCCAAACGATCTGCGTGCACCACGCCACTGTCAAGGCTATTCGTGTGTACCATCTAGGGTACTTCTACATCGTCACCGGCACGACGGACAATGGCGCTGTGCTGGCGTTGGCGGAGACGAACGCGTCTGTTGTCATCGTGCCGGTCAAGCACATCTTCCCTGTGAAAGATACCTCCGTAAACACACTGTTGTCTGCCGTTGCAAACCTGATTGCGCAGGTTGTGGTCGATACGCCGCCGGGCTCGTCGGCACTGGTGTATGCCCCGCCAAGGTTCTGCGTGCATGCGATTGAGCAAGCCGCACAGGCAAGAAAGGTGCGTGTGTACTTTGCTACCCCGGATGCCTCAGTTTCCCAGGGCATCGTACTCCATCCTCGCAGCACAGAAAAGGCACTGAAGCAGAAGATACCGAGTGGTATTGCGACTCAGTACGACCTTTCCTCCGACAAGCACGCCACGTCTCTCGGCCCACGACTCGCGCGTATGTCTGGTTGCATTGTTCGGGATTTAAGCTACATCTGCCGCGCCGAAGCAACCTCTATCGCTTACTCAGACACCCTGGAATCGAGCCAGCTGCGACTCGTCGCCGAGTCCATATCCACCCCACCTTTGGGCGTAGACAACATCGCTTCTTGCCCCGTTACCAAGCCCGCCGACGCCCACGATGCCTTAGACGCGATAATTGACTGGCAGGCCGAGGCCATGGTCGACGCACGCGTCAGTCCCGTGGATTCCGGCATCCTCTTCGTCAAAGACAAGACGTACCTCCTCGTGGGGCTTTCGCAGTCCATGGGACGTTCAATCGCGGCGTGGATCATCAAGCATGGCGGGCGGCATGTTGTGCTCTCTAGCCGGAATCCCGAGACGCCAGAGGCTGGGTGGCTTGAGGATATGGAGAGGTTGGGCGGGAAGATTACCGTGCTCGCCATGTAAGTCTCCTCGGCATCATGTTTGAGAATGATCATCATCTGACAAAAGCAAAACAAAATAGGGACGCATCCAACGCAGAATCCGTCGACGCCGGCCTCGCTGCTCTTTGCGACGTACACAAGCTGCCACCCGTGGGTGGTGTAGCGTACGGCCCGCTAGTGCTCAAGGACGCGCTGCTGGACAACATGGACCTGGAGACGATGAATATCGTCCTCAAGTCTAAAGTCCCCGGTGCCAAGATCTTCCACGACCGGTTCTGCGACCCGGAAAAGAACCCGCTTGATTTCTTCGTCATGTTTTCAAGTGCCGCATTGTTTGGTGGTAACCCGGGCCAGACGAATTACACCGCTGCCAACGCGTATCTACAGGCGCTGGGGCAGAATAGGCGGAGCAAGGGTCTTGCTGTAAGTGGTTTTGTTTCTTTTTCTTTTTCTGCTTTTCTTTCTTGGAGACAATGTTTGGTATATGTGGAGGCTGACAAGCTGACAAATTTAGGCCTCTACAATCCATATCGGCGCCGTGATGGGCATCGGCTACCTCACCCGGAACAGCCGTGAAGCCGAATTTCAAGAAAAGTCCGATGTCGATACCCTCGGTGAAGCCGAATTCCTGACCCTGTTCGCCGAGGCAGTGGTATCCGGCCGTCGGGTTGATGGCGTCAACGGCGTCCGCGCCAAGAAGGCCATCGACATGTCGGAGACGGAGATTGGCAGCGGTATTCCCGCGCTGGAATCGCGGCACAAGGAGACTATCAAATTCTATCATGATCCACGATTCGGGAATCTGAAGACGCCGGAGAATAGGGGCGATGTCGCTGATGCGGGCGGGAGCAAGGTGAGTGTGAAGGAGATGTTGGCAACGGCGACGACGATGGAGGAGGTCAGGGCAGCTATTAGTGGTAAGTTGCCTTTGACGGTTTGGCATGATGGGTTGGAGCTGACTGTGCAATGATACAACAGAGAGCCTCTCCGACAAGATGCGTGGCGTGCTTCACATCCCGCCGGAAGAGAGCGTCAACGCGGTTGCTCCCCTCCTGGACCAGGGCATCGATTCGCTCGGGGCCATCACCGTCGCCTCATGGTACGCAACACCCCCATCAATTCCCCACCAATAACACAGTCTACTAACAAGTCTCACACCCTCAGGTTTTCTAAACAACTCCTAGTCGACATCCCAATTCTGCGTGTCCTCTCGGGAGCGTCAATCGACGACCTAGCAGCAGAAGGCGCCTCACGCCTCCCCCCCACCTCCATTCCCCTGGTCGTCGATGCCCGAGACCCTGCAACACACTCTTCCACCGACACTTCCACCCAGGCATCCTTCGACGGCGCCTCAACCCCGCTGTCCACCCCCGACGAGGCTACAATGTCCGTTCTGGGCGTGATACGAAAAGCCCCCATGTCGCTGATCCAGGAGTACTCCTACACGCGGCAGGCTTCCCTTTCCGACGTTACAATCTCCCACAACACCATCGGAGTGATTATGGATGGCAGTCTCAGCATCGACAAGCTTTCACAGGCCGTGACGGCAGCCATTACACGCCACGAAACCTTCCGCACGGCCTTCCGTCCCTCGGAATCCTCCCCCACACCGATGCTGCACGTCCTCTCCACCCCAACCTGGGGCCTGCGCGCCGTCTCCGTAGCATCCCGCGCCGAAGCGGAAGCCGAGCTGGCCAAGCTGCAGAAGGAGCCCTACGACTTGGAGAGCGGCGAAACCTTCAAAATCGCCATCTTCACCTGGTCGTCCACATCCCACCTCCTCGTGCTCGCCTACCACCGCCTGGCCGGCGACGGCTCCACGACCGAAAATCTCGTCGCCGAGCTTTCTCAGCTCTACTCCGGCACCAACCTTCCCCCTGCATCACAGTACACCGACTTCGCGGTCAAACAACGCATGCTGCTCTTCTCGGGGGGTATGGACGCGTCCATCACGTACTGGACGAATCTCTACACACCTCTCCCCGCACCACTTGCCCTGCTTCCCCTCCCCAGCGCGAAGAGCGTGCGTGGGCCCGTGAGCTGGGATCAGCATACGGCCATGTCCCGCTTGTCTGCTGTGCTTGCGTTCAGAATCAAAGAGCGCACCAAGAAACTCGGCACGACGCCCATGACGTTCTACCTTGCTGTGTACGCCACGCTTCTTTCTGATTTATCCAAGCAGAAGCAGGTGTCCATTGGCTTGGCAGACACGAACCGCTCGTCTGTGGCTGACCTGTCCACCATGGGGTATTTTGCAAACTTGCTGCCCTTGCGACTCACCTCCTCCGATACCTTAACAGCCATCATTAAATCCGTCAAGGAGTCTGTGCGGCAGGCCATGTCACACTCCATCGTGCCACACGAGCTGATCTCTCTCCGTCTGGGTCTTAATAAGGTCTCGCCGCGGGAAATGACGCACGCCCCGCTGTTTCAGGCGGTTTTCGACTATCGTCAGGGGGCTGCGGAGTCCGGCGCTGTTGGGGGTGCGAGTATCATCGAGGTGTTGGCGAGCCGGGAGCGCACGCCGTACGACGTTGTGTTGGAGATGAGTGACGATCCGACCAAGGATCCTCTTGTTACCGTTAAGTTGCAAAGCAGTCTGTACGCAGATAGTGATGCAGCAGTGCTGCTCGCGAGGTACGTTGACTTGTTAACGAGGTTGAGCAAGGAGGAGGCTGTGTGATTTGTTTTGACTAGGTAATGGTTTTGATGTGGTGGGATCTAGCTTTGTTTAGACTGCTTTGTCTGGTTGATGTTTTCTTTTTGCTTTCTAGTTAGCTCCAATCTTCTGGGGCTTTGATGTCGCTTTTAAGCTGAATGCTGTGCCGAGCATACGTTTGAATAGACTATCAATGTGTCCGCGCTCATAGAGACACAAAAGTCTCGGCGCAGGATGTTTGGTTGATGAGTGGTGCGTACTTCCTTGATATGCTGTGCTTCTATGTCTTTGTTTGTTGTAATCCAATTCAGGACCCTTTTCCCTAATGATAGATCTAAAATAATAAGATTCTAGTTAAATAATCTATCTATATTTGAAATACTGTAAATGCCTTTCAACTATACCTCTAATATCAAATTAGATATATTCTCTAGAGATTTAATTAGGCTTAGGATTACAGAGATTAATTTGCCAGTGTTTACCATTAGTATTCTATATAATATCACTAGGAGAACTTGAGTAGATGTAATATGTTGCTATAGGTATGGTGCAGCAACTCTAACGGTTCTCTCTATATATCTGCTGAATAGAAACGTAACTCTCTTAATCAAGAGATGTTTTTAGTCCTAGCCATACAGCTAAATACCTTCTTTTGCCGACTTCTGTGCCTCAAGCTGCCTTTGAGAATGTTACTTCGGACAGCAGATGACTCGACAAACCTGCTGCAAATGTAAAGACTACTGATGAATTATTGAAAGCTCAGTGAAGCAACCATTGACGCATGTATTTCATTCATCATCACTATGACTTCTTGCACCCAATGTGCACAATGGCTGCTTTTGACATTATTGATTTCAAGAGTACACAGCCAATTGTCATCAAAGAATGCCAGCAGAGATCAATCAATGGGGGCCTTTTCGTCTTCTTTCTGGGCCTTAACATTGGTACTGAGTCACCCTTGTGATGCGACGCAGCTGAAAGTATCGCTTGGCCCCGACCTTCTCCACGAGTATGGATGGCCACGATGGTCTTGGACACTTGTCTCGCTGTGATACCTAGCCCTAGGGACATAGAAACATGGACGCAATTAGCACAGGAATTAATGAAAGTATGAAGGATAGCGTCGCAGGCTGCGATGGATGCGTTGAAAACACTACAAGCAAGGAGTCCGAGGTCAATATCCATACAGTCCCATGTATCTAATGAAATAATACATAGAAACGCTAGGTAAATCGTAACGTCTCCGCAGCATTCAACGCTTCCAGCATCAAGCGCCAGCTGGCGAGCCAAGTTCAACCATCATGCCCAACCATGAATTCCATCACCACCTCAGTGCAAGATCGCGAAACCACGGCATTCCATTCGCGACTGCCGGAACGATCAGCCTGAGATCTAGAAACCTGCGCCTTTTCCTTCTCACGGCGCATTCTCCTCCTTGCCCCTGACGGAATGCGTGCCGGCCTCCATACATGGGGCCTACCCTTTGCCTGGGGCTTGCGATGACTTCTATTTGTGCGTGCTTCCGCTTCTCGGATTTTGTGTATCTCCGAGGCGCGCCGGTAGTGAAACTCCGTCGGTGGACTCCACGGGTCGTCGTCGTAGTTGTCGCGTGGCACCAGCCTTGTTTCCCAGTCGACGGGGACGGGATCGGACGCAGCGTCGCTCTCCGCACCCTTCTGTGCATCGCCTGGCACAGAGTCCGTATCGCTGGATGCGTGGATGCAGTTCATACTATCGTCGACTTTGGCGTCGTGCGCGTTTCGAGACATTGTGAATACTTGATTGCATTTCTTGCAAAGCATATCTGCCTTTGAGATCGCGGCGGAGGGGGTCATGGCCGTCTGGGTAAGGGGCTCGGCGGTCTGCATCTGGAATAGTTACGTGTCAGCCCAAGTCGAAGGATGAAGGGGTGGTCGGAGCCTACCTCTGAGCGGAGGAGATTTCGTGAGACTTTGTGCCACTCCTTCGATGCACGGGTCAGGTAGGGACCACTGTATCGAAGTTGCAATGCTTCGTGGACATTGCGACCGAATCGTTAGAGTCGTCGGTCTTGTATTCTCCGGATTGGAGTCGTCTCGGGGGCGTCACGGATCTTTCAGGGAGCGCAATGTTTGCTTGCAATATTTGCCTTCTCAAAAAGGCAGGACCCCTGTTCTTTGCTGACAAAAAGCCTTGTTGGAAGACGGTTCCGTTGTGTTGTTGGTCCTCATGATGACCTCAGAGGTGGGGTTCTTATTGTTGGTTCAGGGCCCACTCCTGGCTTGTCGTTGTGTACATACTGGACCTTTTTCTTCTGTGTATGTCTTTTCTGGCCCATTTGACGCGAAGGAATTCTTGCGTAGATGCTCATAATAGTCAGATTCCAGATTTCGCCTGTTTTATCTTAAATCTGACTGAGTTTGGGAGCGCAGCTCAGCCGCTTGAGCATTGAAAATGACTGGCTTGTTGGTGTGCATCGCAAGATCCCTGCACATGTGAAATGAAGGATGTGATTGAGCAAGGGGCATGCCCTTGGCGCTTTGCGGGGTCACCATGTGATTGTTGTTTACATTGGCATTCTCCATCCGTTTGGCTACTCATACCAACAACCGACATGCCTTACCGCAGCTGCCTGTGTAATTGCGTCCGTTCAGCCACCGAAGTGACGGCTCCTAGACCCATTTATCCGGCCCTGGAAGACCCACTCTGAATGCGGGCGGTGCGCCGATCCCGGTCACTGCGAGCCGATGGAGTGAGTTGGGGGAAGACACAGCTCTGCTTCTTGGAAGAGCGCAAAGTTCACTAGTGAATATGATTGGGACACGTTGCCCAAGTATGAGATTTGTTAGATGAGTCAAACCTGGCCTTCGCGATTTACATGGCCATTGACTTTGATCATTCCCACGATAACTCAGCAGGCGGCAACCGCAAAGTCTGCGACCTTTGGCCCGATGCCCGAGGTGTCGTTACGTGTGCTTCATGGCCTTGCAATTTTAAAGGGACCATGAGCCTAAACACATGTCAAAGTCGCTTCGAAAATTCGCTCGCCGTCACCCCTCAGGCTCTCGGATTCTGTAGCACCGCTGTACTTTGCCTTGCAGATAATCTCTCCGCCCTGACCACATTTATTGGGTTCTACTAGCTCTATGATGACCATCCGCCTAGTTCCCTGGCGCAAGGCAATCGCACAAACATCCACAGTCTTTGAAAGCCCTCGTATTTGATTGATGACTGAAGATGACTTTTGCCAAGTTTTGAGTAGCTGAAGTACCAACAGCGTACACACATACCGTCTCAAAATCCCGCTCAACCTCATGCGCTGCGTTGAAAGCCGTTACTCCATGCAAATTTCTAAGATGTCTTCACAGAAACCCACCAGCCTTCCCAGAGCACCTATTTATGCGTTATCCTTCAACAATCCATCCCTCAAACATCGCACCTCTTTGAAGGCTAGGCTTCGTCGAGCTTTCAGCAGCACTACATGCAACAACAACATGTTCATCTCCAGCCTCATAAGAGAAAGAAGGGCACTTTGCTCATCTCCAGGTATTGAGGGAGAAGAACCATCACTAATTGCTGCGCAAGATTCCTGGACAGGTTGGATCTCTTAGAAGCCAAAAGCTGCGATGAAGACCTTTGAGAAGGGGCATGGCTATCAAAGAGAAATGAGCCTGCTACCGCTATCATACAAGGAGGCGTTAGGATGTAAACTGGATTTCTGTGATTGAGATGGCTGACTTTGCGTGAAAATCAACTTATCCGCAAATATTAACATGCCTCCTCGTCTCCAAGACAACGGTATAGCTGGCTGTCATACTTTACGTAAGAAGTTAGACGTCACCAGCCGCCATATCAACAAGTTCATTGGGGTACACCACGTCAGCAGCTTGGAGGATGAATGTGCTTTGCCGAAACGCATTTGATGTCAGGATCGAGTACCTGGGCAAAGATGAATACATGACGACTTTCTGCGACCTAATTGAGACCTTTGGAATACCAGCTTCATGATACGGGCCATGATAGATCCTGCGTTCTTTCAATTTCTCCCTTCAATGAGAACAGGACATGATGGCAGCCGACTGAGTGTCGAGAAATGAATTCTTTGGTTTCTGGTCTGTTCATTAGGGGTTTCATGGCGTGGCAGAACATTTTCTCAACATAAGGTGAATCATTTGGGTAAGTTTTCAGATGAGCTTTTATTACTCTGACCTATTTCCTGACGCATTCTGTTCACTATGATTGCGGTATTCAACTTGAAATGGAATTCTTTCAAGTTTCTGCCAGAGATTTATGATATTCTTTCGTCTGGTATTCTGGTTCAAGTAAGTGAGTGAGGTAGCTCTCTTGAATAAGTCGGGAAGCGCTGCTGATGTTATAACACCACCTTGGTTTCAAGCTTCACTTACATCATCGGGAGTCATGAGCACATCAGGACGCGGATGACGGGAAAGTCAATGCGGATAACGAGTAAAATGCAGCGCAGCGCCAGAGTGACGACCAGGAAAGCTCAAGACTCCCATTTGGAAAGAATTAAAAAACAAGAGCGACCAAACAGACAACAACAAACGAACCGACAGCAAAGCACCACCGCAACAAAAGCGAATCTCAAACAAGCCCGAGAGGCAAAGACGAACCACAAAACGAAAATGAGAAACGGCCTCAATGGCGTCAATAAACACAAGCAAACAGAACACGAAACACACCAAACACCCTTACTCGTCGTCTGAATCGAAGACTAAGCTGGTGAACATGGTTCCAGCCCGACGCACCGGCGGCGTTGGCACCAACTCCTCATCGTACTCTGAGCTCAACTCATTCTCAAAGGCCCGACCGGCGCGAGGTTCGATGTTGGGCTCGGCAATGCCCTCCACCTGGGCGACAGCAGTGTCGAGAACAGCAGCTCGTGCGTGCCATGCGATGTCCTGACGATCGGCAAGCCGCATGCGGGATGTGAAAGTGCCTTGCCTAAGCTGTGACATGGTGGTGTCGTATACGCGCTGGGCAATCCTGTCAAGCTCCTCTTCCTGGTTCGCAGGGGGTGCCCTAGGGCGGCGAACACGGCGTGCGGGCGGAGGTGGGGCAGCCTCTTCGGAGTCGGAGTCTGAGTCGCGGTCAGAAGAGACGGAAATGGTGCGGCGGCGTTGGCGGGGGGGCGCATCGGACTCTGAGCCGGATTCGGGCCGGGATCGGACGGCGCCGGGAGCAGACCGGACGGCAGGGCGGGCGGGCGAGCTCCTGAAAGGGTCATCGTGGGAACCTGGGGCAGGGGGGCCATGGGGCTCGTCATCAACGAGGGGGATGTTGTGGTCCCGCAAGGGGACATCATTGTCATCGCCGAAAAGGGGATTGTAGTCGTCGCGCGCGTCGTAGCGGAAGTCGAGAAAAGCGTCATTGTTCGACGAGAAGCTTCAGTCTCTTCCTCTTCCTTATCCCCATATTGCTGCTGCTGTTTTTGATGGCGCTCCTCCGCATCCTGCATTAGGCCCATGGCTTCTGCTTCTGCTGCGGCCTCCTCCACCTCAGCCTCGTGGAGAGCGAGCATGCGCTGTGCGGCGGCTTCTTCCTGGTGGAGGAGCTCCAGCTCGGCCCAGTCTCGTTCTTCGGCAGCTTGTTCGTGCAGGCGCTGGACCCTCACAGCCTCAGCATAGGCGACGGCAAGCTCAGCAGCGAGCATCTTGGCGGCTTGTGTAGCTACGGCCTTGGTGAGGTTAGAGGCTCCGGAGGTGATGACAGCCCGAAGCAGCAGCCCAGCATTCTCAGGGTCTTGTGGCGAGCCGGCCCAGAGAGCGGCCAAATCGTTGGTGGTGGCGCCGGGGCGGGAAAGCACTTTGTCGGTGATCCAGACCATCTTGCGGATGATGAGGGGGGCGATGGGCGGTCTAGGAGCATAGACAGCAGGAACCCAGGGGTGAGCTCCCCAACGGTGCTGGAGAGTCGCAAGGCCTCTCTCTGCGCTGATGTCTTTGGCGGCAACGGACGGATTCTCGCGGAGGTGTTGGTGAAGCTGTCGTCCATGGCCTTCGACAGAGGCGAGCAGCGAAGCCGCAGCGCGAGAGGCAGCTTGCGGGCGAACAGCGGCGGCGGGCGTGATGGTGTCGTTGATGAAGGCAGGCACGACATCAGCGGTGGGGGCGGCGGTATGGGGATAGGCATCAATGAAGTTCTACATTATTGGCAATATTAGTATCGGAGTTATGTGAGACGATACATGATCCAGAGATGATTGATGTAAGACAGGTTGGTCTAGCCAGGCTCCGCAATGTATTTGGAGTGAAAGTGAAAATCATAGGAGGCTTTTCTGTAGAAAGGGGTTGGACAATACAGAAACACATACGAGTCGTCCGCGGTTCGCGCCAGACTGGTTGTCGCGGTTGGCCATGGTGGTTGAGGTCGAGTCGGGTAAGGTGAGGTGAGGTGAGGTGAGGGGCGGTGAAGTCAGGCACAAGACAGGAAAAGACCACACAGAACAGAACTCAACATTGGCCGAAGCCGAGAAACCGAACAAACGAACGACAAACAGACAACACCAAGACGTGAGGATGATGATGGCTGTAGAAGGGAAAGGGAAAAGAGGGGTAGGGCATGAGGCGGTGGTATGGCCTTGCAAACTCTGCCCGCAGGCACCTGAGATGCAGGTGCTCTCCTTCACTGTGGCTTCCATGTCGGTTGGCACCTGTCAATGGGCATCGCACTTGCCATGTCCACATCGCGCCTGCTCACACTCGCACATCACTGAGAGGCGCTGTGGGCGGACCTTCAGTTTGAAAGGAAAGAACGCACCGACAGCAAGACCACACGAGAGAAAGACACGAGAGTCGATGCCGAAGCAAAAGGTAAAGGAAAGATGGTGATTCTCCTATCTGTCGATTTGACTAGACGTAAGTGCCTACTTCGCCTTCCGAAAAGTCCCTGTTTGTCCAGTGCGTCTCTGCTCCCACCCCCATACACCCGGCCGTTCAGTATTCTGCGTCACTGACAATTGCCTGTGGCGCCTACCTTGACTGCCCCAAAGAGAAGACACAACAATGCGCCTGCTCCCCTGAGCGTCCCCCGGCCACTTGGCCTCGCTCTCAGCATTGGATGTCGTCATTGGGAGTGCTCCACTTTCGTCTCTGCCAAATGCCCAAGAGTGGAGTCCACGAAAGCACACTGCCATCTTCCACGAGTGTCACCTCCCTTTCTCGTTCGTTCTGTGTGTCCCAACCACCCGCCCGCCGTGTTTCCGCTAAAATGTCGACGAAGCTTTGTGCCCATTAGTGAGGTGTCCCCCGGGGCATCTTGCGACAACACTGAGCGAGAGCTGCCGGCACCATAAGCCATGCCATCCAGATGCCTTCTTCAGACAGACCCCGCCCTGTAGATTATCCATGCAAGTCGCCATCGATTGCGCTGTGCTGCAAACACTGCCGGCTTGGGCATCGGAATCTCGTGATGCTTCCAATCTTCAATGCGCTGCGCCCACTCAATGTCAGCGCTGTTGTCAAACTTCCAGTGCGGCTTGGGGCCTTCCTCGATCCGTTTTCTCTCGTCCGACACGCGCTGTGCTATTTGAGCGCGGTCCGTCGTATCGACCAACGCGCCCAGCCTTACGAGTCTGGACACCATGTGCACAGCTGAAGGTTCGCCTTCCTCTCCGTCCTGACTTCTCCCCTTGACATCCTCCGAGAAGCAAGCGTAGTGAAGGCTCCAACACCCAGCCTCGTCTGGCCAGTCGTGAACTGGTCCATTGCGTGCAATCGTATCTCGGAGCGGGCCGTGGCATTGGTCGATGGTCCACTCCATCATTTCCACCATGCGGCCCGCAGCCATCACATGCAGCCCCGTGAGACCTCCACAGCTGCTATGCGGCCGGTCCCATATGGCTCCCTTGCTGATCAGAAGTTTGGCTATCGCCTCGTTCCCGTGTGCGAGCGCTAAGTGTAGGGATGTTGGCTCGACGCCACCTCCGGCAGACCACATGCCTGTCGTGCAAATAGCATTCATGTAGGGCGATGGGCAGAGACAATCCAGCAACGCGCTGGGGTCAATCGATACTCGCCGTTTGAGAAGCCAGCGGGCCATGTCCTCGTCGCCTCGCATTGCGGCTGCATGGAGGAGAGTGGCATACGGCTGGCCATCTTCGGAGTCCATGTGGAGCTTGGTCGGGCACCGCCAGGGGACGTAGAATGCAGCGGACAAGACTCGTGCGGTGTCAAGAGGTCGGAGGACGTGCGGAATGTGGGCAACCAGACGAGACAGGAGAACGAGATCGCCGGAGAGCGCAGCGGCCATGAGAACACCTACCCGATTGGCTGGAAGTTTTCTGCCATCGTCAGAAACGCGCGGGGGAGTTTGAGGAGAGAGAAGGTTGCTCACTTTGGCATTGGAGGCCCAAAGAGCCGTCGATAGTCTGGGGGGCTTATGGCCCGACTGCCATGCAGAAACCGCCTGGCGCCGTTAGCAACGGAGTTTGTTGGGTGGATGGAAACTGACATCCAGGACCTGCCGGGACAGAGCATATACCAGTCCCACAGGATGGCATGCTTGTAGAGAACGGGGTTCGCGACGCCGTGCAGCATGCGCGAGACGAGAGCCAGGTGAGCCAGGCTGCGCAGGTCGAGATTGGCGTTGTGATCAGGAAAGGCAAGGGCTTCGGCGATGCCGGAGAGTATCTCAGGAGGGAGATTCGAGAGGCAATCCATCGTGGTGCTCAGGCAGGCAATTTTCAGTTGGCTTTGTTTCTTTGTGGAATGAATGCAGATGGTGGTGGATGTTTGAGGACATTCCTTGGTGTTTCGGGTGGCAGCAGGTGCTCTCTCTGTGGTAGTTAGCGATCGGAATGCCTCGGGAAGATGTTGTCAGGAGGCGTGGGAGTTGAAATAAGGTGTTCAGTACCCAGCGTGCACTGTTTTTTTTTTTCCTTTTTTTCTTGCGCCTGCAGATGACAGCGGCCCGGCCCGGCCTGGCCTGTGAGACAGGGATGCCTTGCGACTCAGCGGCTCTCGGGGCAATCGTTCTGCAGAGCCGGTAGTCAGTGGTGTACGGTGCGCCAGAACACTAGCTGGAGTTGGTGAGATCGGCTGGTTCGGCAATGAACCAAAATGGATGACTTTGTCCGAACACGCGCCTGACTTTTTTTGTTTCTTTTGGCGAGGCAGATGCGCTCTCAACACCTTCCAGTGGAGATGAGATTCAGCGGTCGCGACGGTGCAATGGAAGGACACTGGAGGTGCCTGTCCAACGTACCGGCGTGACGTCACTCCACCTTCCCCGCCTAAATCTTCTTTTCCCTTTGGGAGCCTTGACCGCCCGCGCTCAAGTGCTGGCGCCCTGGAATTGGGCAGTCGTGGTTTGCAAGCCATCACCAACCGACAAGCAAGACGGGCGATGGGCTTTGGAGGCGCCCAAGGCTCTGTCAATTGCTAGAGCAGCACATTGGCCAGCATGGGCGGAAGTGGTGTTCTACTGGGTTATTCAGCGCTCCAACGCGACGCGTCACGTTAGTTATCCGTGAGGCCCGCAGAGGTAGGTACTGAGTGCACGGCGAAAAACTGCCCGGGCCCCTAAACCAAATCCATACCTCCCGATTTCCCGGTGCGAAATTGGTAGGTACCAATCCTTTCAGTGGGCCATCCGCTGGGAGCCCCCCTGTCAAGGTTGCCTTCTGCGCTAGGGCAGTACCTACTCACCAACGCAACCCCCTGAGGCCAGAAACCCTACCTGACGCTCCGCTTTGACGACAATCACGAATGCGGATTCTGCGACAATTGCAAACAAGACAGCGTTGACAATGCCTCCACGGGAAATTGCCCACGAAACTACGGATCCAGCTCATGCCTTGTCCAAGTTCCCAACCTCCTGAGTACTTCGACCGATACAATAATTTATTACTCGCTGCATCATGGATTTCGAATTCCGCCCAGCAGTATAGCCTACAGGTTGCCATTGCTCAATGCAGACCTAATCCTCATTACATCGTGCCGATCTGTGCCACGACCGAGGATCGAACCACGCTGGGACATGGAACGGACGACGAAGTAAAGCCGCAAGGGAAAGTTCAGAGAATGACAACAGCTCCGTTCCACACTCTCGGTTCCGCAAGATCAAGATGTCAGGTCTTCACCCGTGACCTCCAAAGGAGACGCGCCGCGGCATTCGACGAAGTTGCCGGTTAATCAACGGGCTAAATCCACGGGCTACTTAACCGTGCCCTTGGTACTCAAATATCCTTCTAATTTGATGCCTCTTGCATTACCTGCCCACCAAGACCTCAATGTGACACTGATCCAATGCGATGGGCTAAAGACTGTCGTTGCTAACCTGGCACATAGGCACCGGTAGAGTGATGATCGTCCCAGCTCACTTACCCCACGCCTCATCCAGCTGTGATTCATCATCATCGCTTAACTTGAGGTTCCGAGCGTCCTCTTGATTGAAGCTGAAGGACACTGCGGAAACTTGCTTGCCCTTTTCATCGTCCATGTGACGGCTGCTGGTGACAGACCCCTCGTCGAAAAGCGGAACTCAAGCCCTCTGCTTGTCTTTGTCTCGGCCACGGCCAGACTCAGGCTGCTTATCCTCTTCCTCTTTATCATCATCAAAGGCAGAGGTTCAGGAAGTGGGCGCGCTTGGAAATAGAGGGCTTGTAGCTGAGATCCTCGCGGAGACGCTCGTGGTGATGAAGAGGCCTGAGCAGAGCTTGACACGACGTAGAGAGAGGTGAAGACCCTGTGAGCAATCTCAAGTGTATATTGTAGACAGGTCCAGAAGAGTTGGGTTGAAAAAGAGTGCTTTATTGACAGGTGGTTGCGGGAATCGCCTATTGACTGCAACTACCTCGGCATTGTCGGAGCTTGTGCGACTCGTAGCAGCTGCAGCGTTCATGACGATGCAGGCTTGGGAGTCGGGCTTGCTCCTGGCTTTCGCTTCGGACTTGGCGAGGGTGTTAGTATTCCTGAGGGCCGCATGTTGGCGGTTCCCAGACCAAAAGGAAGAACATGGACTTGACAGAATAGTAGCCTGGGCTGACCCTGACGGCGTCAAAGTCCTTGCGGTATGGCATGTATTGGAGTCGATCGACCGGAATCAGTCCTTTGGTGTTGGCGAATCCTCGAAGCTGGGAAAACTTGGCGTCCCCATTTGTCTTGGTCCCTAGGTATCCTTTTGCGTGGGACGGCGGGGACGGCGGGGATGTTGGTGATCGCTGGAATCCCTGGCGGGTTGAGATCTGAGAACGCACAGGTGAATAGGGGAGGACGACAGCAGAACAAAGAAACTCAAGGCGAGACAAGGCAAGATGAGGTGATCCGACGCGAAATAGCGACAAAGGCAATGTGTCCTGTCAATCTTGGTGGCACCTCCGGCGACACCTGAGAGAAATGTCGGCTGGCCACCTCTGTC